CTTGGTTTCATTTGATAGAACAGAAGCTATATAACAGAAGTAGAGATGATTTTGATTGGTTTTAGTACTGGAAATGGCTTGAAACTGAGCCTAAAGTAGCAGAAATGTTAAATTTTTGCCGATGTTCAAGAGTAAACAAATGACCTCACACATCTAATACATGCCAGCTGGTGGGACTAATATACATTCACAAATGTGGTGATATTATTTATACAATTATTACAATATTGCATAACAGTAAATCTTCTACTTTTTGGTTTGAATAAAAATTCATTATGTGAATAAAAAATCAAAATGGAATTCATTTGTAAAGCCTGAAAACATAACTAATGAACAAAGGAAATGTTAGTTTAGTGCCAGAAATGCCTGGATTGTTTATTCTGGACCCTATTTTGAAATTGGAATATTTTGAACCTTTGTGTTAAATTGGCCAAATTACCAATTTCCGATCACTTTATTTTGTAGTTTAAACAGTTGACTTGGCGATTTCTTGGGCTCAATCGATAGAATAAAAGTAATACTAGTGAAATAGCTAAGAATTCGGTTGACTGGAATAATGTAATTGGCCTAAAATGGGAGTCAAATTCGGCAAAACCGCCGATGCGTAAATATCGCTGACACATCAAAATTCGCAAGAGCACAATTTTGTCAATTTTCCATCAAATTTCATACTTTTTGTTTTATTACCTTCAGAAAAAGATTCTCTATCATTTCATAAGAAAAAATAATTTTTTTTCTTTTTTAAATTCTTGGACCCTGGTGCACACCTTGAAATTTGGCCTCTGGACCCTGAAAGGGTTAATTAGATAGTTTATTTCTTTGTAAAGGTTACAATGTGTGATTACAATTTTGATTTGCTAAGTACAAAGATAGCCACTATCATGCCCAGGCATTTTGGGCAGACTAATCCTAATACATAGTAGCTAATTAAAACTAGACAATATAATAAGAACAAAGTAACTATACTTAAAACTAGACATTTATACTGAGTTTAAATAAGTTTTACAAACTTATTTAAACTCAATATAAATGTATTAAATCATCTCCATTTCAGTAGTATATCTTCCATTTTATCAAAAGATACCAAGAAACAGCCTAAAAAGCATAAAAAAATCCAAGAAAACACTGCAAATTTGCTATTTTAAATAATACTAATAATTTTCTATCAGCATGATATATGTTTGTACAAAGGAGTACATATAACAATTGGGTGTACATGCCTTGTCAGCAGATAGGTCTATGAAAAATGAGGCGAACCATACCATAGACAAAAGGAAAAGGTGGGTGGTGCAGTGAGGCATCTGTGGACACAAAGGTTATCGATGGAATCAAAAAGAATACAGTGGTACTAACTTGCAGGGAAGAGGCTGGAGGCAGTGGAGAAGTTATGTCCGAGCACAATGTATGGTGAGAATATTAGGTAGAGAATTTATAGTTTGGGGATTACAAAGAGGTGTGTGGCTGAGGAGGGGTTTTTAACCCATAAGTGTCCAGATGCCTGATCTGAAAATTGTCCACAGGATCCAAGAAATTTTAGGAGTGAAGAAGAGCAGAATGTAAGTGTGGTGGAGCTACGTGAGGCATTACGTAGAATGAAAGGGGTAAAGCAGCTGGAACTGATGGGATCATGACAGAAATGTTAAAAGCAGGGGAGATATAGTGTGGAGTGGTTGGTACTTTTTGTTTAATAAATGTATGAAAGAGGGAAGGTACCTAGGGATTGGCAGAAAGCATGTATAGTCCCTTTATATAAAGGGAAAGGAGACAAAAGAGATTGTAAAAATTATAGAGGAATAAGTTTACTGAGTATACCAGGAAAAGTATACGGTAGGGTTATAATTGAAAGATTTAGAGGTAAGACAGAATGTTAGGATTGCGGATGAGTAGGGAGGCTTCAGACTGGGTAGGGATGTGTAGATCAAGTGTTTACATTGAAGCATATATGTGAACAGTATTTAGATAAAGGTAGGGAAGTTTTATTGCATTTATGGATTTAGAAAAGGCATATCATAGAGTGGATAGAGGAGCAATGTGTAGATTTTTGCAAGTATATGGAATAGTGGTAAGTTACTAAATGCTGTAAAGAGCTTTTATGAGGATAGTGAGGCTCAGGTTAGGGTGTGTAGAAGAAGGGAGAATACTTCCCGTAAAAGTAGGTCTTAGACAGGGATGTGTAATGTCACCATGGTTGTTTAATATATTTATAGATGGGGTTGTAAAAGAAGTAAATGCTAGGTGTTCGGAGAGGGGTGGGATTAAATTATGGGGAATCAAATTCAAAATGGGAATTGACACAGTTACTTTTTGCTGATGATACTGTGCTTATGGGGGATTCTAAAGAAAATTGCAAAGGTTAGTGGATGAGTTTGAGAATGTGTGTAAAGGTAAGAAAGTTGAAAGTGAACATAGAAAAGAGTAAGGTGATGAGGGTATCAAATGATTTAGATAAAGAAAAATTGGGTATCAAATTGGGGAGGAGGAGTATGGAAGAAGTGAATGTTTTCAGATACTTGGGAGTTGACGTGTCGCCGGGATGGATTTAATGAAGGATGAGGTTAATCATAGAATTGATGAGAGAAAAAGGTGAGTGTGCGTTGAGGTATATGTGGAGTCAAAAAACGTTATCTATGGAGGCAAAGAAGGGAATGTATGAAAGTATAGTAGTACAAACACTCTTATATGGATGTGAAGCTTGGGTGGTAAATGCAGCAGCGAGGAGACGGTTGGAGGCAGTGGAGATGTCCTGTCTAAGGGCAATGTGTGGTGTAAATATTATGCAGAAAATTCGGAGTGTGGAAATTAGGAGAAGGTGTGGAGTTAATAAAAGCATTAGTCAGAGGGCAGAAGAGGGTTGTTGAGGTGGTCTGGTCATTTAGAGAGAATGATCAAAGTAGAATGACATGGAAAGCATATAAATCTATAGGGGAAGGAAGGAGGGGTAGGGGTCGTCCTCAAAAGGTTGGAAAGAGGGGGTAAAGGAGGTTTTGTGGGCTAGGGGCTTGGACCTCCAGCAAGCGTGCATCAGCGTGTTAGATAGGAGTGAATGGAGGCGAATGATACTTGGACCTGACGATCTGTTGGAGTGTGAGCAGGGTAATATTTAGTGAAGGGATTCAGGGAAACCGTTATGTTCATATAGTCGGACTTGAGTCCTGGAAATGGGAAGTACAATGCCTGCACTTTAAAGGAGGGGTTTGGGATATTGGCAGTTTGGAGGGATATGTTGTGTATCTTTATACGTATATGCTTCTAAGCTGTTGTATTCTGAGCACCTCTGCAAAGCAGTGATAATGTGTGAGTGTGGTGAAAGTGTTGAATGATGATGAAAGTATTTTCTTTTTGGGGATTTTCTTTCTTTTTTGGGTCACCTGCCTCGGTGAGAGACGGCCAACTTGTTGAAAAAAACAAAAAAAAATTATTTTTCTTATAAAATGGGAGAGAATCTTTTTCTGAAGGTAATGAAACCAAAAGTTATGAAAGTTGATGAAAAATTTATGGAATTACACTATCGTAAAGTTATGCAGTGTCCGTGATATTTACGATTCACTTTGAGCCCTATTTTTGCCAATTCCATTCTTCCAGTTGACCACATCCATAGGAATTTTGCTAGTATTCCTTCTATCGATTGAGCACAAGAAACTGCAATTTACCTATTTCAACTCCCAAATAGCATGATCAGAAATAGGAAATTTGGCCAGCTTCATACAAAAATAAAAACTGTTAATTTAAACATAGGATCCAGAATAAACAATGAAGACATTTCTGGCACTAGAAAACATATCCTCTGTTCATTACTTATGTCCCCAGGCCTTTCGTTTATCATGCTTTCTTTCCCTTTTGAATTTCTATTCACACCAAAAATAGGAGATTTACTGATATGCATACCATTGCATTGCAATAATTGTATAAATAATGTCAGTGCATTCATGAAGGCATATCAGATCAACCAGTTGGATGCGTATTGGACAAGTGACATAATTTATGTACTTTGGAATACCAGCAAAAATCAAACTTTTCCACTACTTTGAGCTCAATTTCAAGCTACTTTCAGTCCTGAAATGAATCAAAAGCATCTCTATTTTTGTAATATAACTTCCATTCTATCAACTGAAACCATAAATACAACCATAAAAGCCACACAAAAATATACTGCATAGTCACTGTTTTAAACAAAAATATCTTTTCTAATTATACACTGCTCCTGCAGGATTTCTTTCATGTGGTGGACATTTGCTGAATAGACCCATTCTCTCATATCTAGGCCCAAATTTACTACTCAGTTTATCTGAGTGAAGTGAGCTCATGGCATAATTTTATAGCACAGAGAGCAAAGTGGTTAAAATGGTTTGGACATTTAGAGAGGATGGAGCAAAATATGATGAACTGGAAGGTGTATAAATCTGTAGTGGAGAGAAGGAGAGGCAGGGTCATCATAGAAAGGTTAGAGGGAGAGAGTAAAGGTTTTTGTATGTAAGGGGCTTGGACATCCAACAGTTGTGTTAGTGTGATAGATAGGAGGGGGTGGAGGCAAATGGTTTCTATGATTTGAAGTGCTGCTGGAGAGTGAGCAATGTCAGATTTATAAGGGATTTAGGAAAACTGGTTAGCTAGATTTAAGTCCAGGAGGTACAAAGCACAGTGAAAGAGAAGTGGGGATACTGTAGTTCAGAGAAACACCGAAGTTGCAGTGTCAGTATGCCTACAAGGTGGTGATGGCGTGAATGATGGTAAAAGTTTTTTTTTCAGGTCACCCTACTTCAGTGGGAGACAGTCGATGTGTTAAAAAATAGATGTCTTTAGTGCAACACGAATAAGGAGTTTTTAAAAATATATGACGACTTAAAAAATGATCAGATAAACACAAAATTTCTTCTGTAGCTATAAATAGTTGTTTTTGTAATTATAAAAAAAATGCTATCCCTGTCCTTTTCTGTCTTCATAAATACAAAAACAGCACTAAAAACACACATAATGTACATAAAAGAAATACATGCATTAACCTTTTTGTCGTAAATCAGGAAACTCTTTCAGCACATCTTCTCGGTGATGTTCAAGAAAATGAAAATAGTTTGATATTGGTTTTTTAGGAGGTTCTGGCAGTCCCAGCTTTTCAGCTATTGTCTTCTTGTACGATGACACAAACCTAGAAGTAATCAAAGAAGAAAAAATATCTTGGGAAGTGCTTTAACATATAGAAAGAGTTTTCAAATACATGTACATGTATATTCTTGAAACGACATATATATATATATATTTTCTTAAACTCAACTTAATTTTTTTTTTTATCACAAAGATAGGGTGATGTGAAGGAGGACATTCACCATCATTCATTGAACAGCTGTCTTACCAGAAGTGCACAGACATCACAGTTCAAGAAATTGAAATGCAGCATCCACACCCATCCTTCAGAGTACTGGAACTGTACTTCCTAACTCCAGGACTGCAGTCTGGCTAAACTGTTTCCTGTATGCCTTTATAAATGTTACCTTGTCCACACTCCAACAAGACATCAAATCCCCAAAATGACCCAGCTTGCTCACTTTTAACACTCGCATACCTGCTGGATGCTTACAGTCATGCCACTTTAAAACCAACTCATCATCCCTTTAGCCTAACCTTCTGCCCAACTTAATTTGACTTCATGGTCAAAGTACTGTGTTCCATGATTTCTAAGTAACTAAACCATCGTAAGAAGCCCTCCTCCACCCTCTGAGTTACACCTTTCATACTCCCACTCCTAGCTGACTCTCAGTGAGGTAGGGTGACCCCAAACAAAGGAGGAAGTCTTTAGACCATAATTCACGAAAATCTCTTGTCAGAAGGGTGCTGACATCATAGCATGATGTCTCTCCTAAGTCATTCTTTAGGGTGCAGGCACTGTACTTCCCACCCCCAGGACTCAAGTCTGGCTACCAAGTTCCCCTGAATCATTTCACAAAAATTTCCCTGCTCACACTTCAAAAGCATGTCAAATCTAAAAAACCACTTGTCTGTACTCACTCAGACATATTGCTCATACAAGCTTACTGGATGTTCAAGACCTTAGCACTCAAACCTTTATTCCTCCCTCTCATCCATTCTGAGACAACCTTGTTACAAAATGTGACATCTACTAAGTGAAGATATCTCCAGATAATACTAAAAGGTCAACTTATTGATCCCCCTCTAGCATCAAGCTTGCTTCTGGTTTGTAACAGTTTGTTAGAGTATTCTAATCTGGTTACCCTATAAATTATGTGGCTTCTCAATAGCACTTTGGGATTACAACTGGATGAGTGCAGACCAACTAAATAAAAGTCGAGAGATCTTAAACCCTTTGAATGTCGAGACCCTGCTCACAAACTTCCTCACAATGTCAAAGAATTTTCAAAAGAAAATATATACAGTAGACCATCGTTTAACCCTTTGACTGTTTCAGGCCCCTCTCTGAAACTGTCATTCTATATCGCCAAATATTCAAAAAAAAAAAAATTATTTTTTCTTATGAAAATGTTAAGATTATTTTTCTGAGTGTTTTAGTCCAAAAAAAAAAATTTTGCCATCGGTACTTAATCCGAGATATAGAGCCGTGAAGTTTGCAGAAAATGAGCCGCGTATGGCAACAGCGGCGACTGCCGCTCAACCGGTAAACTTTATTTAGTTTACTTTGTAATTGAAGGTTTTTTTATTTTTTTCACTATTTTATTTTTTCACATAACTTATGTGGCCTATGAGACCAAAGTAAGGTGCAATGTATATATATACACTCGTTGTATACAACACAATAAGCACACAAACATAATTATCAGTATATTGTTTACAAAACTTGTTTACAAAAAACAAACAAACAATCATCCTCCTCCTCCTCCTCCTCCTCCTTCTCATCCTCCTTCTCCTCCTCCTCCTTCTCCTCCTTCTCCTTCTCCTTCTCCTCCTCCTCCTCCTTCTCCTCCTCCCTCCTTCTCCTTCTCCTCCTCCTTCTTCTCCTCCTCCTTCTCCTTCTTCTCTCCTCCTTCTCCTCCTCCTCCTCCTCCTCCTCCTCCTCCTCCTCCCTCCTCCCCTCCTCCTCCTCCTCCTCCTCCCCTCCTTCTCCTTCTCCTTCTCCTTCTCCTTCTCCTTCTCTCTCCTCCTCCTTCTCCTCCTCCTTGTCTTGTGTGCGAGTGTGTGGCTTATAATTGTTTTGAGTCAGAAGTCGGCAGCTGTCAAAGTGACATATTGTCTCATTAGTCGCTACCCCTACCGCCTGTCAAAACAATGGGGTCGGATGCTGCTTCCCCTCCTCCATTCTATCTAATTATCTTTCTCCCTCATTCTATACCTTTCAATCTGTCTCTCTTTCTATCTGTCTGCCTATCTCTGTCTCACAGGTACACATAAATACAAGTATACATAGTGTAAATTACCTAGGATAACCCAAGAAATCCAGACAAAGTGCTATACTCTGCTTGAAGATGTGAGTAAACGTGATGACACAGTCTTGTGGCTCTCTCTGAGACAGAGAGCTAGATGGACAGACAGGGAGCTTGACAGACAGACAAATAGACAGACAGAAATGTTTGTGTACCAGCAAAAACGAAGGGAGGGCGATGGTCATGTAATATTACCCTCCTTTACGCTCATCAAAGTCAGCTCTTATCAGATGTTATCTCCCCTTATCTTGTCACTGTCATGGGGTGGACTTTTTTTTTTCTTGCTTCAAGGGAACAATATTATTACATCTTCTTCTTCCTCCTCCTCCTCCTCTTCTCCTCCTCCTCTTCCTCCTCCTCCTCCTCCTCTTCCTTCCCTCCTCCTCCTCCTCCTCCTCCTCTTCCTCCCCTCCTCCTCTTCCATTGCTTTTGGTCTCAAACTCCTCCAATCATGAAATTGATCTTCACTGACACTTCCATCTGTGTTAAGCATCACTTGGGAAGAGAAGAGTCCCAGATTTGCTGGGGAATCACATATTTTCTTACCGCTAGACATGCTGAAAAAATGACAACTGAAATGGCATTCCCACAATGCACCACTGGCTCCCCGATTTTTTTTATATGGTGCACACTGACCATGGAGACCCATTCTCTCACATGGGGCCTACCAGCTTTCTCCTGCTTGATTTGAAGCTGCTAGAATTTATGCGTATAAATACGTCAGAAACATTGGCTCGTAAGACGTATTTATACGTCGGAAACAGTCAAAGGGTTAACATGGTAGTTATGTTCCTGAAAACGCCGTGTTAGACAAACTGAAGAACTTACGGGAAAAATGGGGTTGTGTTCCTGGGAGCCCCCAAAAAGCCAAACAACTTTTTTTAGACCTCCAGATCTTACAAGATAAACGGAAAATGTAATTGTAGTGCACTGTCGTGATATATCACTGCTTAAGACTACAAATGCAATAGAAACAAGAGTATTTCTACCTTAAATTGTGAGTAATGGTGTCTGTGGATGATTGTGAAGAGAAAGGATATGGACAGTGTTGTTCTACTGGGCTGAAGTGGATAGTTGTTGGGTGTCGGCAGAAGTGGATGGTTGAGGTTCTATTACTGAAGTCGATGGTTGTGTTGGAGTGTGCATAAATACTGTAATGGAACTCGGACTCTTTTACTCTGCAGTACATTATACAATTGACGGTAATGCATCATCAGCTGGTCTAGACCTGTTTCAAAGCAATGCTTCTATATTTGTTATTATATAATTATACTATTACTATCAATAAATAATATCTACCTAACATATTTATTCCAGAATAATATTAGGTACAGTGGAATCTCAAATTTAATCCGTTCCAGAAGCTAGTTCTAAAGTTGAAAAGTCTGAAAGGCGAAGCAATATTTCCCATGAGAAATAATGGAAATACAATCAATCCGTTCTAGAAACCCAAAAATATTCACAAAAAAATACATTTTATAGACAAGTATTGCATTATAGTTTTACATAAACACAACAAATATAGTGTACAATTATTAATAAATTTAAATAAACATATAAAATAACATTTTTTCTTACATTTATTGAAGATTGGTGATGGCATCTGGAAGATAGGGAGAAGGAGAGAGGGAGTTGGTGTTAGTGTTTGGAAGGGAAATCCCCCTCCATAAGGACTTTAGGTATCAAACCCTCTCTGGGGTTACTTCCCTTATCTTTTAATGCCACTAGGACCAGCTTGAGAGTCACTGGACCCCTGTCTCACAAAATAACTGTCCACAGTTCTCTGTTTCTGGCACCTCATTAAGATTTTCCTAAAATGGGACATGGTTCTGTCACTGAACTTGTTGCAAGATGCTTGTTTCAACTTGCTCAGGGTGGTACTTCTCCACATCATTTCACTTGGTGCAAATCTCCTTAATCTTTGAAGAAGGCACCTCATCCACTCTCTCTTCCTCCTCCTCTGAAGCAAGTTCCTGAGCTGTGGTCTGATACTGTTCCAGATGAAGCTCTTCCAACTCTTCAGTGGTTAGCTCTTCCCTGTGGTCTTCCACATCCTTGCCACTCACCTGGTGCCTGTGCTAACCTTCCTATGGTGTAGAAATATACCTAGTTGGATGAATCTTATTGTGGCTAGTTGGTCTAGTGGCTAACGCGACGGGCTGGAGTTTTGAGACTCTATGACCGCGGGTTCAATCCCGGCCGGGGGTATGGTTTGTTTGCAATCGTGTCATTACGATTTCTTGAGTCATGTTGACGGCAGTGAAGGGACTTGAGCTAGAGTTCGTCACGGCCACGCTAGCTGGAGATTCGTCTGTAAAAAACTTGCATTTGTGATCACAGTGGTGCCTGTGCTAACCTTTCTATGGTGTAGAAATATACCTAGTTGGATGAATCTTATTGTGGCTAGCTGGTCTAGTGGCTAACGCGACGGGCTGGAGTTTTGAGACTCTATGACCACGGGATTCAATCCCGGCCCGGGGGGGTATGGTTTGTTTGCAATCGTGTCATTACGATTTCTTGAGTCATGTTGACGGCAGTGAAGGGACTTGAGCTAGAGTTCGTCACGGCCACGCTAGCGGGAGATTCGTCTGAAAAAAACTTGCATTTGTGGTCACAGGGGGTGCCTGTGCTAACCTTCCTATGGTGTAGAAATATACCTAGTTGGATGAATCTTATTGTGGCTAGCTGGTCTAGTGGCTAACGCGACGGGCTGGAGTTTTGAGACTCTATGACCGAGGGTTCAATCCCGGCCGGGGGTATGGTTTGTTTGCAATCGTGTCATTACGATTTGTTGAGTCATTACCTTAAAATATTTGTAATCTTAATGTAGGGTGAGAGGTGAGTTTTATTATTTAAGTCAGGTTTGGGAAGTATGGGTAGCCAGCCAGGGCAGCCCTCCCCACCTCACACACATGTAATATACTAGATTTAATTAAAGCTCCCAAGAGCGATCAAATACATATAGAGTACATTCATTAATTACCTTAAAATATTTGTAGTCTTAATGTAGGGTGAGAGGTGAGTTTTATTTGTAGGAAGTCAAGTTTGGGAAGCATGGGAAGCCAGGCAGGGAAGCCCTTCCCACCCCACCCATACATAATGTAAACAAACCAGATGAACGTGTCTGGTTTTCGTCATTTTACATTGTGTATAAGTCATCTCCACGGTGATACAGTAGAATAAATAAAGAGAAACACTCCCATTCTCCTGTAACACCATTTTTAGAAGAAATGACGCCCTGAGTGAAGGCAAACTTAGGTAATGGTACACATACAGTGTGAGGGTGATTTTCATCAAAAAAGGTTTGCACTTCAAGCCATTTTGCACACATTTCCTTAATCTTTGTAGTAGGCAATTCCTTCAATTTCTCTCTCCCCTCCTTTGAACCAGTTTCCTCAGGTCTGGCCTCTTGCTCTTGAAGTTGATCTATCACCTCATCAGTGGTTAGTTCTTCATTGTCGTCCTCCACCAACTCTTCCACATCCTCCCCACTAACCTCCAACCCCAAGGACTTCCCCAATGCCACAATTGATTCCTCAACTGGCATACTCCTCTCAGGGATAGCCTCAAACCCTTCAAAATCCCTTTTGACTACACATTCTGGTCACAGTTTCTTCCAAGCAGAGTTCAAGGTCTTCTTAGTCACTCCCTCCCAAGCCTTACCTATAAGGTTTATACAATTGAGGATATTAAAGTGATCTCTCCAAAAGTCTCTTAGAGTCAGTTGAGTTTCTGAGGTTACTACAAAGCACCTTTCAAACAGAGTTTTTGTGTACAGTTTTTTGAAGTTTGCAATAACCTGCTGGTCCATGGGCTGCAGGAGAGGAGTGGTATTAGGAGGCAAAAACTTGATGTTAATGAATTTCATGTCCCCATAAAGTCGCTCTGGGCCACGTCTGTAGGATGACCAGGGGCATTGTCTAACACCAGGAGGCACTTAAGTTCTAATTTCTTTTCAGTTAGGTAATCTTTCACATTGGGGGCAAATGCATGGTGTAATCATCATAGAAAAAAGTCCCTAGTGACCCATTTCCTTACTGTTTGCCCTCCACAGCACACACAAATTTTCCTTGAGGACATTCTTTTGCCTGAACGGTCTGGGAGTTTCAGAGTGATACACTAATAAAGGCTTCACTTTGCAATCACCAGTAGCATTGGAACACATCAACAAAGTAAGCCTGTCTTTCATAGGCTTATGTCCTGGGAGTGCCTTTTCCTCCTGAGTAATGTAGGTCCTGCTTGGCATTTTCTTCCAAAACAGGCCTGTTTCAAACACAATTAAACACTTGTTCAGGTTTCAGTCCTTCAGTTTCTATGCACTCCTTGAATTCCTGCACATATTTTTCAGCCGCTTTGTGGTCCGAACTGGCAGCCTCACCATGCCTTATCACACTATGTATACATGCCACTACGCTTCTTAAATCTCTCAAACCAACCTTTGCTGGCCTTAAATTCACTCACATCATCACTAGTTGCAGGCCTTTTTTTAATTAAAATCCTCATGCAACTTCCTAGCCTTTTCGCTTATGATCGCTTGAGAAACGCTATCTCCTGCTAGCTGTTTTTCATTTATCCACAACCAATAAGAGCCCTCTCAACATCTTCCATCACTTGCGATCTCTGTTTCGAAAACACAGTTAAACCTTTGGCAAGAACAGCTTCCTTGATTGCCTTTCTGTTGCCCACAATAGTAGAGATGGTTGATTTGGGTTTCTTGTACAACCTGACCAGGTCGGTGATACGCACTCCACTTTCATACTTATCAATGATCTCTTTCTTCATCTCTATTGGAATTCTAACCCTTATTGCTGTAGGGTTGGAACTAGAAGCTTTCTTGGGGCCCATGGTCACTTATTTTCCAGATAAAGCACCGAAAACACTGTAATAATACGAAATATTCCGATTGTATGCTTGAATGTTACCGCGGAGGCTGGCTGGTAAACAATGCCACCGGCGGAACATATGAGGCTGGCTCAGGCCGCACATTGGACGCGTCTTGGACGAAGGGCGCTGAGCGGGTTTTTGGGCAGTATGCGAGGCAAAATTTTAGCAATCAAAGCGTCCGGTATGCGGATTGTCTGTTATGCAAGGCGTCCGGTATGCGGGGGTCCACTGTACATATAATTATCAGTTACAATAATGTAGGTATACAGTGGACCCCCGGTATTCGATATTAATCCATTCCTGAGAGCTCATCGAATACCGATAATATCGAAAACCGAATCAATTTTCCTCATAAGAAATAATTGAAATCAAATTAATCCGTGCAAGACACCCAAAAGTATGAAAAAAAAAAATTTTACTACATGAAATATTAAGTTTAATGCAATAGAATAATTACAAAAACAATAAAATAATTGACACTTACCTTTAATGAAGATCTGGTGATGATTGATGGGATGGGAGGAGGGGAGAGGTGTTCGTGTTTAGAAGGGGAATCCCCTTCCATTAGGGCTTGAGGTAGCAAGTCCTTTTCCGGGGTTACTTCCCTTCTTCTATTAATGCCACTAGGACCAGCTTGAGAGTCACTGGACTTCTGTCGCACAACATAACTGCAGCCTCACCATGCCTAATCACACTATTATGCCACTACGATTCTTAAATCTTTAAAACCCAAAAACCTTTTTGCTGGCCTTAAATTCATCACATAAACCACAATTGCGGGAAATTTTCTTTACCAATCGTCATGAAACTGCCTACCTTTCACAAATGATCGCTTGAGAGATGCTTTTTCTCCTGTTTCTGTTTTTTTATTTTTCCACACCAATAACAAGTCTCAACTTTTCTAACACTTGCGTAGCTGTTTTGTAACACAGTTGCCCTTTGCAAGAACAGCTTCCCTTATTGCCGTTTCCTGGTCACTATAGTAAGATGGTTGATTGGGGGTTTAAAATTATACAACCCCACTCCGACACAGCACTCCACTTTCGTACTTTGCAATTATCTCTTTCTTCATTTCATAAGTCATTAGCGACTTTTTTCTCGAAGGGTTGGCACTAGAAGCTTTCTTGGGGCCCATGGTGACTTATTTTGCAGAAACAAGCACCAAACACAGTGATAATATGGATAATATGGAATGTACTGAATGTATCCTTAGATGCGCGCACACTGGCTGGCTTGTAAACACTGGCACACACGGG